CATAGACATATCACTTTTTGGAAATGCACCAGTACCCTCTAGGAAATATTTCAGTATTTAGATAACAAGAAAGGCAAAAGCTATTCCAGACACTTGGTTAAAGGCCTTGCACTCCCTGCCAGGCCTAGAGATATGTTGTGGAAAAGAAAATGTCCATCATCACAGAGCTACTCCATGACCATGATGAATCAATACAGAAGCAAAGGCATTCATGTCTGTATACCTGATGAAAGAGAACAGTTTTCCGAAGAATAAAAATCCAGAAACAGTCTGTTTGAAAGCTATGTCTGCTGTTACCATAGTAAGTTACTTAACCTCTCTGTCTCCTTCACTTTGACTACAAAAATGGAGATGATTATGGCACCTACTTCATAGAGTTATGGTGAAGATTAAATGAGTTAATTCACATTCAGCATTTAGAATTGTGTCTGGCATATAGTATGTGCACAGTAAATATAAGCAGACTGTGATCCATTAGGTAATAAATACTTTAAAATCACTTTTTAAAATCACAAAAATTTCTGAGTGAAATACTGTTATTAGGGAAGCTTGATAACTATCTTAAAATTACACAGCTATTAAATGACAAGCCAGGACTCAAAGTCAGTCCTGTCCTCAAAGCCATGAGTGCCCTTAACTTTTATGCTATTCATTTAAAATTTTATTTAAAGAGACACTACTCTGTACTCCTATTCTAGCTTCCGATGAAAAAATCCAGACATAGTCCCTCCTCTCATGGAGTTTACTGCATTCTAATGGGGGAATGAGGCAATGAATTATGTAAACAAAACAATGCAGAAAATGTTTTCAGATAGTGGTGCGCCATTGCCTCCAGTTTCTTCTTTCTCTTTGGTGAGGGGGTGTGTGTCTTAATTTTTTTCAGGGTTCTAGTTAGAAATGAGAGGATTCCTTTATTAATTTGACAATGGTTATTGAGTACTTACTCTGTGCCAGTTACTCTACTAAAGCAGCTTGCTAAAACATCAGATGGTTGAATATATAGATGAGAAATATGAAGTACGGTCAATCCGACTCTTTGGTTAACACGTACTTTGTGTATTCAGAACCTCAATACCCAGGGGTTGATTTTCTCACTGGAAAACCATGGTGGCCTAAATATTTTTCTTGCTGCTATAGACAGAAAACCCCAGAAAATGAGCTCCTAGTGGGAAAATTCATTCTGTAATACCTTCTACCATTTAAAATACTGACATAGTTTCTCACATTTTAATCTTTATCGAAGTAAGATTTGGAACTACTCTTCTACCCATGATTACTAAACTCTGCTGTTTCTTATGGTGGTACTTACAGACATATTGCATTTACATCCTGCCTCATTTGACAAAGACTTTTAGTGGCTTACAAGAGTACTATAGGATAAATAAATGTAAATTTAAAAACCAAGACCAGAGAAAATAAGGCAAAAAGATAAGACCCAAGGGAAACTAATATGCAGTAGAACATAGTACTTTAAAAATAATGCAGTCAGTGATTGCACAAATTGTACTTAATACCACAAAAATATACACTTAAAAATAAATTTTATGTTATATATATTTATTTTTATTTTTAAATATGTTTTTAGTTCAGAGAGGAAGGAAGAGGGAGAGAGAAAGAGAGAGAGAAACATCAAAGAAGAGAGAGAATCATTGATCGGCTGTCTCCTGCACACCCCCTACTGGGGATCAAGCCTGCAACCGGGCATGTGCCCTTGACTGGAATTGAACCTGGGACCCTTTAGTCCAGTGGTTCTCAATCTGTGGGTCGCGACACCTTTGGGGGTCAAATGACCCTTTCACAGGGGTTGCCTAATAAAACAATAAAAAAAAATGCAATGACATACATGCAAATATTTAGAGGAAGGGAGGCCATGAGGCATGGTGGAACTGAATTCACCCACATTTACAATTTTTAAAAATATGTTCTTATTGGTTTTTAGGAAGGGAGAGGGATAGAGAGTTAGAAACATCAATGAGAAACATCGATCAGCTGCCACCTGCACACATCCTACTGAGGATGTGCCTGTAACCAAGGTACATGCCCATGACTGGAATCAAACCTGGGATCCTTCAGTCTGCAGGCTGACGCTCTATCCATTGAGCCAAACGGTTAGGACTATATTTATTTTTTTAAAGATTTGTTTTTTCAGTGAAGGGAAACATTTGCCACTGAACCAAACAGCTATGGCATGTTATGTATATTTAACCACAGTTCTTAAAAAAAAAAAAAAAAAAATGACCTGGGTAGTGTTGCTCAGTAGTTAGAGCGTCTGCACAGGAAGGGTCTCAGGTTCTATTCCTGATCAGGGCACATACCTGGGTTGCAGGCTATGTCTCTCTCACATTGATGTTCCTCTCAGTGTGCCCCCCTCTGTTCCTATCTCTAAAAATCAATAAAAACATGTTATCTGGTAAAGATTTTTTTTTAAAAGGAACAAACTACTTCCATAGTGACAACATGAATGAATCTCAAAGGCATTACGCTATATGAAAGAAGCCTTACTGTATGATTCCACTAATTGAAAATTCTACAATATACAAAATTCATCTGTGGTAGAAATAACTCATGATCTAGAAGATTTGTGCATTTCATTGCATATAAACCAAAAGAGAAAAAAACTGTAAATGATAATTGAACTCTAGGCAACAATATTCATGTTAAAGTCATTGAGGCAAGTACACCAATATCTGCAACTTACTTTGAAATGTATCAAAAAAATAAGGATGATACATGGGTAGAAGGATGGATAGTTGGATAAAATAGTATGATAAAATATTCATTGCAGGTGAAGCATGTGTGGGTTTTTGCTGTAGAGTTATTTCAATTTTTACGTTGGGAATTTGTCATAATATAATGTTGGGTAAAGGATGTAATCACGCTATCCTGAATTCAAATCCAACCTTTGGCATGTACCAGCTGTGTGCTTTACGGCGTATTGTATAATCCTATTACGTCGCAGTCTTCTCATATAAATGGGTGTAATGCTTTTTTTGCCTCACAGAGTAATGTGAGGATTAGTTGAGATGGTGCATGTGAAGTGTTCCACAGTGGCTGGCCCTAAATGAGTGATCAGTTCTCGCAGGTGGTGGTCTTTACATCTGTGAGCCTTAAGATTCCACACACAGATTTGGCCCACCATTTTTCTTAACATCAGCAATCATTTATGGAGCTCATAGACTATTCTGTGATCCTTGGGCTTAGGTATTGCTCTTGCCCATACCTCCTTGGTAAGATCTAAAATAGTATTTCCAGAAAAGTTGGGATTCTTTCACTGGTGATAGCTGTAAGGTTGATGTTAAGGAAGTTAACAGTTGTCAGTATCTTTTAGTAGAAAGAAGGTATAGCCACATCCTCCTAGCAATGCTATTAAAATCAGAACACTAGGAACCTCATGGTTATCCCCCAGTACGTAAGGTCCGTGGTTTACTTTATCTAACTAGATTGTAAGTTTCTTGAGGATAGAAACCATGTTCTCCAACTCTGTGTCAGCCTCTGGAGGTGATTTAAAAATGTTTTAAGCCCTAGCTGGTTTGGCTTAGTGGATAGGGTCCCAGTTTCGATTCCAGTCAAGGGAACGTGCCTGGGTTGTGGGCTCAATCCCCAGAGGGGGGTATGCAGAAGGCAGCCAATCAGTTCATCTCTCTCTCTCATCATTGATCTTCTATCTCTTTCTGCCTCTCCCTTCCTCTCTGAAATCAATACAAATATTTTAAAAAAACTTTTAAAGTTTTAATATGAAAAATTTCAAACAAACCTACAAAGATAGTATAATGAATCATCATACAGCCACCATCTAATTTCAACAATTATTAACATGTTGCCATATTTTGCTTATTTATCTAAATCTATCCTTTTTTTTCCCAGAGCGGGAAGGAGAGGGAGAGATAGAAACATCAATGATGATAAAGAATAATTGATCGGCTGCCACCTGCACACCCCCCACTGGGGATCTAGCCCGCAACCTGGGCATATGCCCTGACCGGGAATCAAACCATGACCTCCTGATTCATAGGTCAATGCTCAACCACTGAGCCATACCAGCTGGGCTAAGTCTATCTTTAGAAAGATTTATAGATAGATGATTTCTTTTTGCTGAACCATTGGAAAGTAAATTACAGGCATTGTGACACTTCACTTCTAAATATTTAAGCATTCATTGCCTAAAACTGGACATTCTCTTAGATAACCACATGCTCATATCACAGTAAGAAAGTTAATAATGATATATCATATATTGGCCAGTCTTTAAATTTTATAATTGTTCCCAGACTATCTTTTTCAGCTTTTTTGGTTTGCTTTTTAATGAATTGGGATGTAATCAGAGATCAGATATTGCATTGCACTTAGTTTTTTACTCTACACTTTTCAGTGTAGAAAAGTCCACCTCTTTTCTCATAAACATTGACTTTTTAAAGAGGAAAACTAATTGTCTTACATAAGGTCCTACATTCTGGATTCTGGTCCTATATTCTGGATTTCTTTGTTTCTTTGTGTTTTACTTGTTCTGTTTCTAATATTTCCTGTAAACTTAAGGTTTGATTGGATTATATTAAACATTTTTGGCAAAAGTACTTCATAGGTAAAACAGTACATAAGTGTTTACTAAGTCTGGGACTGGCCCAGATGGACAGTCGTTATATATATAGGACAGATGGGGAAATAACCTTTTTTAAAAAAGAGAGAGAGAGATAGAAACATCAATGATGAGAATCATTGATGGGCTGCCTCCTTGCATACCTCCTACTGGGAATCGAACCCACAATCCGGGCATGTGCCCTGACTGGGAATCGAACTGTGACCTGGTTCATGGTCGATGCTCAACCACTAAACCACGTAGGCCGTGAACAGTTCCTCTATTTGTAAGCTCTGAACTGGAATTTGGCAGGGAACAAAAACAATGTGGGCTCTGGTTAGAAAAACACTTTTCCCTCCCTTCAGTCTCACATCCGGGAACCGCATCTTTAACCATTCTCTCTGTTTTCTTTCTTTCCAGGATCCCAGCTGGTTACTGTTTTGTAGAATTTGCAGATTTGGCCACAGCCGAGAAGTGTTTGCATAAAATTAATGGGAAACCCCTTCCAGGAGCCACACCTGTAAGGACACTTAGATAATGATGATGTTGCCATTTTTATTGTTACCAGTAACTGTCATTTATTGAATCCCTACTATATATTTATATTATTTTATTTAATTCTGTAACAACCCTGAAGAGTAGGCATTGTTATCTTTGACAGCCTGGGAAACTGAAGCTCAGGTGAGTGGAATAACTTGCCCAAGGCAAAACAGGTAGTAAGTGGCAATGCCAGGAAGCAAAATGAAGATTGTTTGACCCTGAAACTCATGCCCTTTCCACTCTGCACCTCTGCCTCTCTTGATGGAAGACTTGAAACTAGATCTCTTGCTGGACTGAGAAAGTAGGACAGGCTGGCAGAAGTGAGGACACATTTCAAGAGAGTTACATTTTGCTCTTCCCACAGTTACTTAGCTCCCAGCTGCACCAAGCTGGCACACGGGGGCTCATAGAACCATGGAGCTGGCAGTGCCCTTAGCGGTCATCCGTGCAACCCCCTCATTTTATACAGGAGAAAAAGCTGAGGCTTAGAGAGGGGGAGATGTTTTGGCAAGGTAATTTATTTCAGTTTTTTTCAAATATTGTTTGACTCTTAAAACACCTTTCTCTGTTTTAGTTTGTTTGTTTTTAAATTTCCAGGCAAAACGTTTTAAACTGAACTATGCTACTTATGGGAAACAACCAGATAACAGGTAAGTACAGAGTAGCCCCGACCTAGCTTCAAGCCCCAGGAAATGCCTAGAGAGAGACAAGATGTGTCACTGTGCAGGTCACCACCAAAGGGGAGGATAGGGGGTTGAGTTTGGCTCCACTTTGCCTCCCTCCTGAAGGAGGGCACCTTACTGTTATGCTTCATGTGGAGGCCTGTGTCTTCTCTGTATTTGGTCTCTTTCTAGCCTTCTACCCCATTACTTCCCATAGTGTAGAGGTTTTATTCCATAATAATTGACTTGTTGTAGAAATATAATTTTTTTAAATATATTTTATTGATTTTTTATAGAGAGGAAGGGAGAGGGACAGAGAGTTAGAAACATCGATGAAAGAGAAACTTCCATCAGCTGCCTCCTGCACACCTCCCACTGGAGATGTGCCCGCAACCAAGGTACATGCCCTTGTCCGGACTCGAACCTGGGACCTTTCAGTCCGCAGGCCAATGCTCATTTTCCTGAAACTCTACAATTTTTTTATAAAAATATATTTTATTGATTTCTTACAGAGAGGAAGGGAGAGGGATAGAGAGAAAGAAAGATCGATGAGAGAGGAAGTCATTGATTTGCTGCCTCCTGCACAGCCCCCACTGGGGATGGAGCCCACAACCTGGGCATGTGCTCTGACTGGGAATCGAGCTGGCGACCTCTTGGTTCTTGGGTCGACGATGCTCAACCTCTGAGCCACACCAGCCGGGCATATAGCAGTATAATTTGATTCAGCATTTCAGGTTGCTGTGTGAAAACTTTAAAACAGTGTATCAAAATCTTTAGAAAGATTTGTACCCACTCACCTCCATAATTCTGCTTCTCAGAATTTATTCATCATGTGGGTAAGATTAGCCCAAAGGTGTTAATTGAAATGTTATGTATAGTGGGCAAAATTAGGGGAAAACCAAATCTAATAATAGGGAAGTGGTTTAAATTACAATATGTGCATTAATAGAAGTGCAATATATCCGTTAATAAGTCATGTTGTAGCAGAATAATGACATGTCAAGATGTTGGCTAAGTTAAAAGTGAAAAAATGCTATCAGAAAAAAAGTGGTCTTTTACAGAAAGAGTTGGATGACCCTTATTCTAAAATTTGTGGGATTGCATTTAGCTAGGTTTTAAGGTGTTTAGTAGATAATATCCAGTTCTCATTCTCTCTGTGTTTCACCATTTAAGTTAAAAGTATGCAATGATGCCCTGGCTGGTTTGGTTCAGTTGTTAGAGTGTTGGCCCTCACACTGAAGGGTCTCGGGTTCGATTACTGGTCAAGGACATGCACCTGGGTTGCAGGTTTGATCCACAGCCCTGCTTGGGGCGTGTGCGGGAGGCAACCAATGGATGTGTCTCTCATATTGATGTTTCTTTCTCTCCCCACACCTTTCTTCCATTCTTATCTAAAAGCAATGGGAAAATATCCTCAGGTAAGGATTTTTAAAAATGCAATGACTGCAAAATACCTAGTTTTATATTTTGAGTACCTCTGACCTCAACCTCCACCTGCACTCATGTAATCCTTGGAGCCAGACAACTTTTGTGCAGTGGACGGATGAAGGACTTGGGTGGAGCAGGCAACTACCTCCATACCTTCTGCCGGGACTGCCAAATGAAACAAATAGGACCTGGTTAAGGACCCACCAGATGTGTCATTCCCTAAAAAGGCTAAGAAAGGGTTTACCTAGAATGGGCCAAAAGAAGTTGTCAGAACGAAGGTCTTTGTCTCTGAATCTTGTTCTCTCCTCTCAGCCCTGAGTACTCCCTCTTTGTGGGGGACCTGACCCCAGACGTGGATGACGGCATGCTGTATGAATTCTTTGTCAAAGTCTACCCCTCCTGCCGGGGAGGCAAGGTGGTTTTGGACCAGACAGGCGTGTCTAAGTAAGGCCTTCCGTGTTACTGATGCTCACCCTGTTAGTTTCAGCATTTTTCTCATGGATTGAGGTGTCATAGAAAGGTCATGTAGTGTGGTAGTTAAGTGCACAGGTTCTAGAACCAAACTGCCTGGGTTGGAATCCTTGCCCCAGGACCGGCCAGGTTTAGTACAGGAGACAGTTACTGAACCTCTGAGCCCATTTCCTCATCTATGAAACAGGACTGATTCATAGTATCTGCTCACAGGGGCAATGTAAGGATTAAATGATGTAATATAACTAAAGCAGTAGGAAATGCTGTATAGGTGTTTGTATTGTATTATTTTTACTTAAAAAGTGGAAAAGCCTCAAAAAAAACGCTCATTCTTTGAAGTCTGAGAAACTTGGATTTGAATCCTGCTTCTACTGTGACTTTGGGCAGATTGGTAAACCTTTCTGAACTTAGTTCCCTCTTCAGTAAAATGTGGATACTACATCACATTGTTGGGCCGTTCAATGAGGTAACCCTGGACAAATGCTCAGCACAGTGTCTGGGAGATAGTGTTCATTAGATATTCGCTATCATCCATCTATTCCCCCTGGGAGAAGATGAGTTCAGGAGATCAAGAACCTTGTCTGCTTATGACTACCAAGACCTAGTGCATATAGACAGACTCAATAAATATTTGCTGAGGGAACTATTACTACTGCTGTTACCGTAATGAAAGTAGTATTTCCTAGTAGATATGGTAGGGAAGTTACTGTTTGGGCAGGAGACTCATCAGTGAAAGTGGAGAGAGAGGTGAACTGAAGGTGGGGATTCCTGTAGATCTCAGGGTCCTCCAGTGCTTGAATCTCACATTGCTCTGGACACGCCTCCCCGATGGGGCTCTCATTCCTGCCCACATAGTTTGATGGACTCTCTATCCCTTTGAGCCCCTTTTCCATTCTTAGACTTGACCTTCATTCCGTTTGTGATCTATACATCGTGTGTGTGGTGTTTTTTCCTGCAGGGGCTATGGTTTTGTGAAGTTCACAGATGAACTGGAACAGAAGCGAGCCCTGACAGAGTGCCAGGGAGCAGTAGGACTGGGATCTAAACCAGTGCGGCTGAGTGTGGCAATCCCTAAAGCGTGAGTCCTGTGCTGACAGGGAAGGTAGAGAGCCTCTGGACTGACCCCCACCTGATACTCCTCACCTGTTTGTTGATCATCAGAGCATCCACATGCTGGATGGGAGGCTATAGAGAGATTCAGTTCACTCACAAATAAGGAATGCCTGAGATTCGCCAGGCTGTTTGCTGGGTGTTGGAGATGAATGAGCATAACCCTCCAGGAGCTCATGGTTGGGGGGAGAGCTCTGACCTGGAAGACAGATACATTCAAACATTGCTGATAGCAGTGCTGGAGAAGCAGTTTGGTACCACATACGTAATGCCCCCGCTCTTTGCTCCGTAGTGCCACTGTTAGACATTGACCCAGAGATTAAGAATTGAACAGAAGGAAAAATTTACACCCAATTTTAGGCTTATTTATGTCAATGAACCTATAAACCTGTGACTGTCCCATGCCATGGGAATGGCCGAGAATTAATGATCCAAACACTCTATAGACTAGTATATACATCACTATTGCACCTGTCATGCTAGGCAGAAAACAACTCCAAGCAGGTTTCTCACTCAGATGTAAGACAACTTTTTTCTTCATAGAATCTTCATCCTTTGACCAAAGCAGTAATTGTCTATTAGGGGCAATTTTTGTCCCCCAGCGGCCATTGGCAACATCTGGAGACAACTTTAGTTGTTACAACTCAGAGAGGGTATTACTGGCATCTAATGAATAGATGCTCTAAACATCTGAGGACAACCCCCACAACAAGCACTTATCTGCTCCCCTCCGTCTGCCAGCGTCAGTAATGCCAAACGGAAAAGCTCTTCCAGAGATACGAGATGGGCTGCTGCTTTAGGGTGGGGCTTCCAAGTGACCATGTTTTCACAGCAGCAAGGATTTGCAGGTTCCTTATGGCTTGTGCTTTTAACACAGAGAAGATCAGCCTGAGTGATTTCTCCCCCAAAGTGTTATTTTTTTCTAAACTCTATTATATATATGAAAACATTAAAGAAGCTATTTAAAAGAAAGAAATTTCCTCATTACCCTCAAGTGACTAACTATAATTTCTGAGTTTGTTTCCAGCTCCTCCTTAGCTATCCATGACATATACATATACATATACAATACATATACATACACATACACATATACATGCACACACTACATATCAGTCAGTTTATATGCTGTAGATTGATTTCTTTGTTCATTTCACAGTAACAGTGCTCCTTTCCCCCCAGTTTACTCAATATACACACTCACTTTTCCATATAGTTGCCCAATCATCATTATATTTTTACCGCAGGTAATCATTCTGGTTGTATGTTCTGACAGAGTCCCTTCTGCAGAGAGGTTATATTCTGTTACATCTAGCTCTTCACTGAATGTTGACAGTATTTGGTGCCTGTTTCTAGGCTGTAGGAATTGAGGGAGGTAAGAGTTCCCTTTGAGCTAGACTGTAAGAGCTGAGTGTGGAGAGACTGTAGCTTCAAGTACCTGAACATGGCAGGAGGGTGGTGGACCCTTGGAAGCACCATGGAAGGGGCATTATGGAGACAAAGTATTGTCAGTTTTCAGCCTGTCCCTGGGCAGGGAGAGGGAGTCATGCTGTTTGACATCATCGAGCCACCCTGTCAGGAGGTGATCAGATGTGGAGTCTCTCAAACTGCTCTGGCTGAGTCCTGCTCACCACACAGACATTGACTTTGCAAAGAACTTGGGAAGAGCTCATTCAGACTTGAGCATTTTGTGGTTCCTGTGATGGGGATTTCTGTGGTGGTTCAACTCCTGCTTATGACTTGGTTTCTTCTTTGGTTTCACTCCGAGATAGAATGCACCAATCATGAGGACGTCCCACGTCCCACACTATGTGACTGTTACGACTTTCCTTATAAACCAGCCTTTGCCTCCTGTGGGTGTTTGGGGTGCACCTATGGTAGACTCTGGCCCACCGAGTACAATGACTCTGGAGGAGCATTGTCATGTCTTCAGTTATGTTCTCTCATTCCTGTCAGCTGGGACTGCTGTCATACCTCAGGCCTTGTTCAGAAGTTTGAAAACATAAGCACTCACATGTACTTTGTTTGTGAGAGCAATGGGTCCTTTGCAGACTTGACATTGCCTTTGGTTAGCAGCTGGGGCAGCTGTACAATCAGAATAAGAAAGCTTTCCTCAGCCCTGACTGGCAAATGCAGGATGTAGGACACTTGAGTCTATCAGGCCAGCTGCTGTATGTAATGGTCTGGTGTTAGCATGAACCTTGTAGTTACATTCGGCTCCAATTGTGGGCCTGGTATTGAGTAAATCACTTAACCTTTCAGACTCAGTAGTCTTATCTGTATAATGGGAATAATACATAATTGCTGTATCATAGGATTGTGCAGGACTTAAAACAGGAGACCATATATGAAAAGTAATTGGCACAGCTCCTGAGTACCTACTCCATAAATGGTAGCTATGACTACAGTGATGACAATAAGGCTACTGGAGCACTTCTCTTAATTCTTTGTAGGGAAGAGGTGATTAGATATTTTGAAGTTTGAAAAGCTTTTTGGGTCATCCTAGATCTAGATTCTTTAGCCATGTTTACCTGAGCCTTTATGGGTGGTAAAAAGCAGACACACACACACACACACACACACACACACACACCCGCCCCCCAAGATCTTGGGAAGAGGAAAAGGTCAGTACTGACAAAGTTTGGTAACAGAGAGGAACGTAACCATTGAAAACTCCTATCTTCAAAGCATGGGCTGTGGAGCCAGACTGCCTGGCTTGAATCACGTTTAGCTGTGTAGCCTTTGACAAATTATGTAACCTCTGTGTACCTCAGTTTCCTCATCTGTAAAATAGGAATAATGTATACTTTTGCAAGAGATTGTTGTGGGGAGGAAATGAAATTAATCTGTGTAAAGTGCTTAGAAAAGTCCTTGTTCAGTTAATAAGTGTTATAGGAATGTTTGCTCACACTTGTTTATTTTTGGTTCTTTCTTCACAGTAGTCGTGTGAAGCCCGTGGAATATAGTCAGATGTACAGTTACAGCTACAACCAGTATTACCAGCAGTACCAGAACTACTATGCTCAGTGGGGCTATGACCAGAATACAGGCAGCTACAGCTACAGTTACCCCCAGTATGGCTATACCCAGAGCACCATGCAGGTAACCATGATTTGGCAAGTCTGCTCTCTCGGGTTTTGTCATCCTGTAGAGACATGGGTCATTCTCCAGGGTGGGATTGATAAGGACGGGGGCTTGGGCTTCAGCAAAAAAAATGGGGAAAGATGGAGCAACCTAGTTGCTCTTGTTAAAAATAAGCCATCCTGCCCTAACCGGTTTGGCTCAGTGGATAGAGCGTCGGCCTGCAGACTCAAGGGTCCCAGTTTTGATTCCGGTCAAGGGCATGTACCTTGGTTGCGGGCACATCCCCAGTGGGAGATGTGCAGGAGGCAGCTGATCAGTGTTTCTCTCTCATCGAGGTTTCTAACTCTCTATCCATCTCCTTTCCTCTCTGTAAAAAATCAATAAAATATATTTTTTAAAAATAATAAATAAATAAAAATAAAAATAAGCCATCCTTGTTATGGGCCAGGATCCCTCTCACCCAACCTCTCTGTCTCTTGACAGACATATGAAGAAGTTGGAGATGATGCTTTGGAAGGTAAGAAAGGAGCCCATCACTCATTCCTCTGTCAGCCATAATGCAGTGATTGCTTTGTGGCTGGCACTGTGCCTTTAGCTGGATGCTAAAGGAATGCATGGTGAATTCTGCCTAGAGGAACTTACATTCTAATGAGAGAGCCAGTGTATACATAATTCCAGTAAGAAGTGTGTGTGTCAGCCTAGGCCAGGTAACTAAGTTGGTTAGATCACCGTCTTGATATGCCAAGTTTGCAGGTTCAATCTCTGGTCAGGGCACATACAAGAATCAATGAATGGCCCTGGCCAGTGTGGTTCAGTTGGTTGGGCATTGTCCCATGCACCAAAATGTTGCTGGTTTGATTCCCAGTGGGAGGCATGGAGGAGGCAGCTGATCAATGTTTCACTCTCCCATCGATGTTTCTCTCTCGCCTTCTTCCTTCCTCTCTCTAAAAATTGCAGATGTTAATCACATCTACAAAATACCATCACAGCAACATTAGACTGGTGGTTGACCAAACAATTGGGCATCATAGCCTAGCCAAGTTTACACATAAAATTCAACTATCACACTATTAATAAATACAAATTAGAATATACCATGTTTCTATAAAAGTTCTTACAATGTTTATATGCTTTGAATCAGTAATTTTACTAGAAAGATTTTATCCCCAATGATAATCATCAGTACAGATAAATATCCAATACATGATATGTTAAAGAAAATGTATGTTTTAGATATATAATTCAATTTTGATACATTGCAAAATTATCACTGCACTAAATCTAGTTAAGTCATCTTATAGAGGGTGGGGCAAATACAGGCTGACGGTTGTTCATATGGAAAATAATACAAGTTAATAAATAATAATACAAACCCTGGCCAGTTTGTTGGGGTCGTCCTGTGGGTTGCAGGTTTGATTCCAGGTAAGGGCACATGTCCAGATTGTGGGCTTGATCCCCAGTCGGGGGCCTGCAGGAGGCAGCCAATCGGTGTTTCTCTCCCTTCCTCTCTCTAAATATCAATAAACTGTTCTTTCAAAAAATAATATAAAAAATACAATACAAAAAATAATAAACTTTTGCATACTCACAACTGTAAACCTTCTTTGCCCAGCCTATATAATTGGAAGAGTAAAATTCCATTAAATGATAGGGAATAACTTGCTTAGAATCTTAAAAATAAATTTTTAATTCA